AGTATGGCTCTCACATCTTTATTTAGTATTTACCTATAGTCTGATTCAAGATGGTTCCCCTTATCCATAACACAAGCAAATGTTACACTTCAACCGACAAAAGCACTCAGTCACAGGATTTCAGATTCTCACATTAGACCATCTTTTGACTTTCAGATCAAGACCTAATTTGTATTTCTACCATTTGCAACCTAGCAGAATTGTTATTTCTAGGCTAAACCTTTGTGCAACTCCTTTTTATGTATGCTGTTCAGCTCTTTCGATTATTCTTACATGTCGGGACGTATGTAGCACTCACAACATTAACAACATGGTCAGCTAAATTGAAGGCAAAGCCAATGAACAAAGTTAATAGGCCATTTGATTCGACCATTGGCTGTCTTTTGGAAAACCAAAACATATTAAGCTGTATAGAAAAAAGGGAGAATGTCAGATAATGCCACTCTGACGGAGCACAATATGCTTGGGTGAAGTTAAAATTAACTTGTACTTTTCTCTTAGTTAGATTTAACTTGCATTGGATTGCCCTTCGTCGTTTTGTTTTCTTACTGCCTATTGTTTATAAATTAAATTATCATAGTAGGGTTCATAGAATCTGGAGGACGACTTGTACCCAGCGTAACACCCACTACAAGAGTAACACCCACTACAAGTTTCCCTATTGGTTCCTTTCTCTGCGATTTTTCATCAACATTTGATCCATTCTTGATGTAAGAAGACCGGCCTCTCAATTAACTTAGAGAGTACAAAGTTCTCGAGCTAGTTATCCAGTATGAACGTAAGATGATACCATAAAGAGAGAAAATCTGTCTTTAAAATGAGAGTCTTTAATCTGTAAACAACAATGGTTGAACATCGATAATGAAGTTATAAGTTAGTTAAAGTAATTAGTAAGTTTCTTTTTATTTAGTTGTTCAGTCATGAGCAGCAGAATAGCCTTTTAAAAACTCCTCTGCGTTGTTTTCTTAAAAGATGCTGAACGAGAAGTTCCTATGAGTCAATCCTTTCTTCAAGACCGTTAAGATATTTGTGCAGTCTTTGATTTTCTTCTTCTTTTACTCGGCACCTTTCACCTTTTTCTACAACCTCATTCGCCAAAATTTTGTTCACTCTATCCAACTTTCCATAATCAGCCTCCAGTCTGTGTATCCTATTCGCAAACGAGGCATTCTTTTTTGCCGTTTCCCGTCGTTCTTTGCAAATTTGCTCTTCTACGTCAGCTCTATCTTCGGCAAGGCCAACAAACGCTTTCCAGAGATGGGTTTTGTCTTTTTTCTCCTGCAAGTTCTTCTTCTTGAGGATCCTTATCTCATCTGTCTTTGCTGCCAATTCAATTTCAAGCATTTCGTTTTGTTTTCTTTCTTCTTTATAAGTGATTTCAGCCTTGGCCCACTTTTCTTTCAACGTTGCAATCTGCAAATGGTTGGCTTTTTGGCACTGCTCGCTTTCTTCCTGAAGTGACTCTAAGATGGCGGTGTGTGCAAGTTGAGCTGCAATGCTATTCACCTCCAAATCTTGTATCTTGATATTGGCCTTTTCAAGTTCTGCTTTGGCAGAATTTTTCTCCTCTTCCATTGCCAATCTACTCATTTTTTCTTTTTTCTTCTCTTCTTGGCAATCCATAACCAGCCCAGATATCTTCTGTTCATATTCTTCTCTGATGCGCTCGATAGCATCCTCTTTTACTTGCAGATTATTTGCAATGGTACTCGATTTTTCTCTCTCTTTCTTGAGTTGATCTGCTAGTTCCTTTGCTTGGTTTTCAGATGCAGCTAACTGAGCCAGCGCTGCGTCCAATTTCCTTGAGATCTCGTCGTACTTGAGAGCTGCAGATGCTAAATCTTCTTTCAACGATCCAATCTGGAGTGGTAAAGCCTCACATGTTGCAGTGGGTGTGTTGCTTTCCTTCTGCAAGCTTAGTTCGCCTTTTTCGTCAACTATCCCCGAGTCTTTCTCCACCAAGACATTTTCAGAAGACGCAAATTCACTTGAATGGTGCGTTAAAGCCAGACACACTGAATTCCGTCTTGGTGACGTAAGGACCTCGATGAGTTTGTTTTTGACATCCTGTTGTTCAGTGTATTTGGTGACCTTTCTCAGAAATGCAAGCCTTACCAAGTCTTGATACTTCTCGGCACTGATGCGATTGATAAATGCCTGTAAAATCAAGGAAAGTGCGTGTTGTTTAATTTAACAAAATTGTTTCAGCAATGCTGCTATTTGCAATAAAGGCATCGTTGTTAATTCTTTTGTAATGCTCAATAGGTAGACAATTTGAAGTGCTTTGAGAGCCTAGAAGAGTTTTGTAAAGCCGTGACGTTCTCCTTGTCGTAGGTCTAGAATTAACTAGTTGGAACATGACTTCTGGAAATTTTCTTTGCTACTTACTATTAAAGTGCATCTTTAGTCAAACTTTATCCTTACTTTTGATAATTGATAAATACAAACCTGGACGTAAAAAGAACGGATAATGAAAACTTTTTTAAAGTACAGTTAAGTTTCACTGAATCTATCAAAACACTTACCTGAAATGCACAATCAGGTGAACATTGCTGCTTCTTTTCAAACTTCAACTGACCAGCAAGATCTAGATTCAACTTGCGGAGTTGTTCATTTTCGCCCAACAACCGATCGTTCTGCTCCGTAAGCGACGAAAGCTCCTTCTTTGCGGAATGTACTTCTCCTTGCAACAAGAATACGGTGTCCCGGTTGCGTTTACGTGTTCTTTGCGTCCTTGATGAACTCATTTTCGTAACAAAAACTATCACAAGTGAAGACTACTTTTCGATAATGATCAAATAAGCAATCTGATAAAAGCAAACAATTTGGCGAATTTATAGTATTTCTGAGTTGATTGTGACGTCAAATTTCTAAAAAATGTATGTGACGTGACAATGGTTCCAAATGAAAAGATCGAAAATAATATCGTTCTGTAAAATTAATTTTTGTTGTTTTTTTATTGTTTTGATATTTGAAAGTTTTAGGTTTAAGTTGACTTGTGGCTATGAGGTAATCCTCGCAGAGAAAAGTTAGAAAATAATTAAGAATTTTGTGCAGTCCCTTTGCTTTAGTCTCGATTGTTGTAGTTGGTCAGTACAGACCTTTAATAAAATTTGAGTCTTTGATCCAAAGAGATTCAGAAAATTTCCAAAAATTTAAATTTAAACTTTATTTGGTTCTTTAATTTCAGATTCTCACTTAAAATCTTCCCTCATATTGAAAGCACAACATGCGTTTATCGAAACTAAGCTATTCCTCCGCAAAGAACATATCAAAACAGACCATAGCAATTAACCGTTTGTATTTCAAGAGCTCCTCCATTTTGTAATTCAGAGCTGTTCTAGTTTTACATCAAGCAATTGTATCGACACACTATCTCGGTGCTAAACTGTGGAATAACTTACCTTCCGAACTTCGAAATTCTCCCTCCAAAACATCCTTCAAATCGAAACTTAAAGTGCACTTATTGAACAAGATCAACCAGTAAGTTAGTGTAACTGATAAATTCCCGTTTTTCCAGGTGATTTTTCCGGTTTTCGGGTGTAGGGGCGAGCCAGGCGGGTTTGAGTAAAAGGGCATTTGAAAATTCTCAGCTACCAAAAATTCTTTTATAACTGTCATCTTTTTAATCTTCTGTCGGTATCTTAAAAGACAAGTGACACGCTTTTGGCGCCAATTTTTTTTTCTTTTAACTTAAAGTAAAATGTTGTATGAGAGTGTTGTTGAAATATTTTTCCTTTCTGATTTCATTTTCCTACTTAAAAACCCTGTTCAAATTATGGCGGGAAATAAATCACGTGACACCGTGACGTAGATTGTGATAATTTGTTATTGCTGCTACTGGTATACATTGCAATATTAACGTTTACAACACGCTTCTAAACGAATTCAGTTCGTCTGGACCTGTCGCGTCGTGTTTCGTAAACTCTCTATTAATTACAGGAAAATTCCGAGTTATCACAAAGTACGTCATAGGGTCACGTGATAGAAATCAAAATCGCCTCCCCTGCGCCCCCTGATTAGAATTTTTTGTTCTAAACCAGGAAAAACTTACTTCTAAAAGATGATCTATAAGTTAATGAAAAGAAAAGATAGGGTGAAAAGTGTGTCACTTGTCCTTTAAAAATAGGCAAAATTTTGGCATAAGAAATTTCTTTACAGGTTTTGAGAAATGTCGTCATAAATGAGGCACTACAGTCAGGATTTCATATGAATCTCGTGGATTTCCTACAAAAGGCCGGCGTCAAGGGCACTTCTATGAAAAGGGCACTTTAGCCTTCATTGACCCTCCTATCAATAGGCAACAGGGGCGATTGACCCCTGCGCCCCCCTCTCCAGCGTCCCTGGTCCCTACTATCAGGTGAAAAGAGTCTGTGCATTTGAGCCAGTTACTTTGTAGTATTCAAATGCATCAAAGTTTTTTCAATTATTGTCCTAGAATAGTAGGTAGGGGAGGTTTCTCCGCGATTATTTTACCTAATGTGAGGTCTCCTTCATACACTTTATTTTGTCCTGTATTTATACTGTATTGTATTTTGCATAGTTTTTTGTAGTTCAGTTTAATAATTTGTTTGCACTGATAATATATAAATTGTATGTTGAGAATTTGAAATATGAAACTGAACTGAACTGAATACTTGCGGACAATCAAAGCTATACTGTAGCGACTGGCAGAAAGCTTTCCTTCATTCCCCTTTCTCTCGAAAGATGAACAATACAAGACGCCATTGCCAGGGGGAGTTTAGAAGGGGGGGATGTGACACCCCCCATTGAAAAAATGCTCATTGTGGAAACGAGGAGCTTTTACCATCTAGGGGTGCTTCGTTGGCGAATTTTCAGATTTGTCGGCAAATATAGAGTGATTCACCAACTTTCATGGTGACTACCTCTTAAAATATAGCTGCTTGGCTGTCTTCCCTGTAATTGGTGATTTAAGATACATAGCCTTAAATAAAAGGAATCCTGAACCCTCTCTTTTGATCTCTTGATTTTCAAGCCTCTGTTTTACAAAGAGGAAGTCTATTGAGTGTTTTTTACTGTTGCAAGCAATGTTGCTAACTATTTGCGCTTTTAGCGGCATTGCTTTAGTTAAAATCCTTTTCATAACTCAAAGGCATGTTTTTATTGCAATCAGATACCGCAGTCTATTGAATTGGTATTCATTGTATTGCATTTTCGGTAAGAGGGGTTTTCCAACTTGAATACTTTTAAAGAGGTTACCTAGAGGCACTATGTATGTACGCTGTGCAGTTGGTAGAGAAGCCGCGTCACTGGAAGTTTGCTAGGTGGATGTGAAAACTAAGCTGGTGTATGATTTGAAAAGATCCTCTGCGAATTAAGGTTTTGATTACCATTTGATTCTAGCAATACATAAAATCTTCGAATTTATTGTATGTTAATCGTCACTTTTTGAGTATGATCGGAATCTTATTGCCGCTATTTTCTTCAACATCTGGAAATTAGCAAAATTTTCCTGATATAAACAATCTCAAACTAGTAAAACTTTTATGCGCATTATTGTCGTGAAATTAACTTTTAGAATATATTTCTAATGAACAACCAGCTTTACCTGTTACGTAACAAAACAGTTCCTTACAGATGTGATTTTGAAAAGTGTCAGCTTATTGCCTCGAGGTTTCAACGCTGTAGAAAAAGTCGTTTTTGCATTTGCTATTGGCACAAAGATAAGGATATTTTCCTCGTTTTGGCGGTGATTGAAAGATGGAAGAGATATTCATGACTTGGGAAAACTCAAGTGAATTCATAATAAAGATGCTACAAGATATTGTTTATGGAGGAGAGATTGGGAGCTTTTTGCTGCATGTATTTGTCGAGAAGAACACTTCAAAGATTTTTGTTAATCGCCCTTGGATAGTAGTTCACGAGAGTCAAACGATTGGAAAAGATGCCGTAAAAGTGAATTTCATTGCATTTCTCGTTCATAAATACGGGATGTGCGAAAGAAATGGGTTAAATAAGACGAGAAGTCTTGAAAGAAAGACAATATATCTTGTTCAACATCTTGGTCAGAATCACGAGGAGCTCCTTGCTTTACTTCGGTTGTCAAATATTTGCCTTGATACTGATATGAAACTTCTGTTGATCGATGACAATTCTCGTGAAACTGCAACTGAGTTGAATTCTCGAAATTATATGTGTTCTGAAAGCTGTAAATTTTGCGATTCACTGATAAAACAGTGTGTTGAAAATAGACACTCATTGCCTTGTCGTGACACAAACAACGAAAATGTAGATGGGACATTATTGCCTCATCCTCTCGCACATGTCCAAGGAGAAGGCAGCGTAAAGCCCTTCAGAGTTTGCGATATTTGCAACTCAAAGCAAGAAATGAGGAACGACAAAGAAGGTAGAAAAACTGGAAACATCTCTGTATGTGGCTTCAAAGATATTTGTGTGGTATGCCTATTCTCTAAGCATTCTTCTTGTTTAAAAGTGATTGATGAAAGCTTCTCTAATAAGAAATGCACTAATAAAGACTTACATCGCATTTATAATGAGAATGCCAAAAAAACAGGAGTATCTAAAGAAGAGAAATTCAAAAAACCTTTTTCGAATATTGTTAGAAAAGAGTGTCTTTGCACTGAAGCAAGTAAACGAGTTTGTTTCACCTATCTTTTGTCTAAACTTAACAAATCAGTGACAAATTCAAAACTCGGGAGATCACAATCTGCTCCAAAATTATTCGTTCACGGAAGTTTTAAGCAAAGTGCCACCTCGTCTAGGCGCATGGAAAGTGTCACAAGGGATTTTGCGACCAGTACAGAAGATATAGACTCCATGGAAGGGTTTGAGAGAAGCAATGAGGTTCTTTTCGCGGAGAAGGCCACCGACACATTGGAGATACAGCCCATTAAAGTGCTATTTGACAAATCAACAAGTTCAAGTGATCTAGAAATCGAGGTCCGTGAGGAAAATGCCAACGATTCGTCGGATATTAAAAGTGAATTGAATTTTTTCTTGGATCAAGATCATGGTGAAAGGTTGGACTTTTCATGTAAGTTTTGTCCTAAGAAAAGTTATCGTTCCAAAGAGCTGCTGGCCGTACACATGCGAAACAATCACAAGAAATGCAACTGCCCATGTCAGAATTATTTCAAAACAAGAGACGAATATCTGGCTCATTTCTATTCAGTGTATCCATTACCATGCTTAGTTGACAAAAAGTGCCCGGAACGTTTTAGGAACTTGTATTACCAATCTTTGCACCACAAAGAGAGCCACCATGCCGAGAAGCCATTTTTTTGTATCCCGTGTCACAACAACAACATCGAAAGGGGTATGAAAAGTCGGTCAGTGACGTTTAAGGATGTCGCGAGTCTGCGCATTCATAGCACGTCATATGGACACAATCCACAGAAACTTTATTTAGTAAGTGATAATGATAAGATTGATGACAGTAATCTACCTTTCAGCATGCGTTGTTCTGGAATTAATTATTGCTGACTCCAACTTACCGTTACAAACATAACAAGCACCGTGTAGATTCTATAAACTTATTTTGGTGGAAGCTTTTCTTCCATTTGTTTTATGGACTAACAAGCAAGAACACCATTTTTATATTCTTGTTATTTAGACCTTCTGTAAGTGAACTAGTTTTGTGAAAACAGCACATTTGATGTAGAACCGATTAAAGTTACTTTGTTTAAAAGTAGAAGAAAGCATACTTTCGTACGTTTTCTTTCCTCAGAAAGTAATTCATCCCTGTTGAAGCTTGACGAGAAACTAATGTTTTATAGTTACTGCAATAATGTCGTTAATTATACGGTTTTCTTTTGACGTGGTGTTTGTAAGATCTTATCTGTGCTGCTTATTTAACGAAAGGTTAACTTTTTTTCAAGCATGTTTTTTATTTACCGCATAATCAAAATTAGTGGAGCCATAATTAACTTTTGTGGAACCCCATTTCTTAATGAATTTCAACAACAAATTGTTATCCTTGATTGAAGTTGCATCAACCAAGCAATAAACAATTAACCTTATAGGATAAAAATTAAATTGTATCATTCAGTGTTTACCGCTATATAGCTTTGATATGATATGATCAATTTTCCCTAGCAACTATTGATTCGCAAGTGTTAGGAAGCTAGTTTTCTGTCATATTGCAGTAGATTGTTTAATTGCTAGGCTTCAAAAATGGGCAGCAAGATTTTTTGGGCCAAGATCATGAGCAGACTGCTATAACTGTGGAAAACATTGAGATGTTTTTGTCCTATTCAATGCAATAAAGTAAAGTTTGGTCAGGACATGCAACTTTTCTATTACATCCCTAATCAACAAGCCATCTTTTCAAAACGGATAGCAACTCGCCTATTTGCACAAGGTAAAGTAGACCGGATCTACTTTTCGTCTCCCTTTGCATCTTGAATGTTTTTTCTAGGTCTCTTATGCCGACAGGAACCTCTATTGTCTTTATCATGCTGCATAAGTGAATGCTCGAATAGAGGTATTTAAATGCCTTGCTTGTTTTCGTCTCTAACCGCTTTAAAGACGGCCTTGCTTACTGTTGCCAAAATATATTGTGAATTGAAAAACGATGCTCGGAGTTTACATAACAATCTTAGCAAGGCCGAAAGCATGGCTACAGGCGATAGTAGCTTGGTGATACCTATATATTTCCTGCAAACATTGTTTGTAATTACAAAAAATGTCCATATTTTGAAGGGCCTACTCCACCAATTGAAAAAGAAACTTACTTCAAAATGCAAAGAAATTTTTCGTCATTGGGTTAACTCTGTTACTCATTTTCGTTCGTAAACATAACGTCCTTCTTCAAAGGCAGTAAAACCTGGCGAAAGACATTTTGTAATGTGGTCAATAAGAGCGTAAAGAGGTCCATCGTTAACTTAAACCTATTATAACATCATTCTTTGTGACGTAGCTATCTCTAAATTTCTTTGTGACGTAGCAAAGTCATTGAAAGATAAATCAATTTTTTAGCTGCAGAGGCACTCTGGGGCATGTTGATATTTTTATTAGCTCGACTATGTGGGTTTTAAGCCATTAAGAGCTAATACTACACATGACTGGTGACAGGAATTATGCATATATTATTCCTTTTCTTACTCCAGTATGGAAAGTATGGCACTTTTCAACTAAATCTTGGGTATGCACAAAAAGTGAGCAGTGTCAAGCAGGCAGCAAAATTGCAATCCATTTAGGCTATTCAAAATAAAAAAAAACTATTTAGAATTTCTTCAAGAGATTTTCAATATGTAAATTTCTGTTGTAAATGCTAGAGATTTCCAGAGCATTTGTTGATGGAAAAAAATAACTTGATTTGGTCTCTTAAAGCTCAGAATATAAGCAATGTTGTTGGTAGAATTAAAATTGAAGAACCAAGCGGTTCATTAATTGCTAGAAAAACTGAATGAATACAAATAGAGTTTTTCTTTAGGGTAGTCATGAGTAATGTCGGACACCTTTTAATTGTTTTGCCAATCTATCATTACCACTAATTCTTTTCGATAGCATTGTTTGTTCTTAGGAATCCGTATCTGCAAGGAAATTTTCTGATGAATTTATTTTTGTATTACATTTACATCGTTTGTTGTTTTTTCCTGAAATTGGCGCTAATCCCTCCATGTAGGTAATTTCGGGCATCCATGGGTAATGACGGACATGCAGATTAAACACAACACAATTTTGTCGATCTAGATAAGAATATGAAATAAGGCCAGGGATAATGGGAGAGTTTAATCCTGTAGTCTACCCATGACTACCATATGTGAAAAGTATTCTATTGGCTAATTGTATTTTTGTTGGAATAGCTGTTTTTCGAATTTATTCTATCAGACTGTCTTGATAAAAAATCTTGAATTTCAAGTTTTGGTCACGCCCGTATTGTTTGAGACACACACATTTCACCAAATGTGTAGTGTTACCGCATGTGTAGTGGTGTAGCGATAATTTCCAAAAATATCCACACTTGCCACACTTATAAAAGTATCATTTTGGAGAAACCTCGTTGTGATGTTCGGTTGAGTCACACATTTCAAAATGGCATCGTAGCAACAAGGGGCTGGCCTTATTTTCTTCCGCGTTTTTCACATGTTGCAAGGAGTTAAAGGTTAGAAAGGTTTCCAAAATGAAGCAACGGGCAGTACTGGCCATACTTCTAGTTTTTCTAGGGTGTTGCAGCAATGTCTATTTCTTGGAGCATCTTATCAAGTAAGTAACCTATTTTTGATTTAGCTCATACTTAAAAAATTATCTTTTGGGGGTCATCCATTTTATAACATATGCAAAAAATAAAAGAATTTGAAACCCCATCCCCTTTCTTCGCATACGTACACAGTGAAGGCACCCCTTCACGAGGCATTAGCGCCGCCATATAAATATGGCAGGGCAATGACATTTTGTTTTCCCTTTTGTATTCAAAATGTCCTCCTCCAACCCGACCCACTTTTAGAAGGAAAATGGAATCAAACTTGCCACCCTTATTCAGAACCAGACTTTGGAGATTTCGAAGATCGTGATAAACATACTGAAACCCATAAATTTTGACTTGAATTTAACCTGTTTTATGTAAGAGAATGCCCCAGGCTTTGTAAGAGGCCTGGCGGCTGGAAACTTGGATATGCTCGCAGCTACGTTGGACCTCTTGTGCTTGCACTCGGACCTCTTGTGACCCAAAATATTAATGAAGTAATGTACGATGTTGTCCTGCATTACTGGGATAAACTTATTATATTTCTCAACTTTGAATTTTTGTAAATTTAAGCAGTTTTCAATTCTGGAGAATTCAAATTTCCCAATGAGTCCCCATGGTTGTTTTGTTGATTCCATTGAATTATAGTAAGCATCAAGTGTGAAAAAATTTCAGCCATCAAAGCAAATTGCATCCTATTTTTCTGGGGGCTCAAACCAGCAGCAAATTTTTTCAAGCTTTGGGCCGAAACCATTTTAAGAGCCAAATAATTTCTAAAATGATAATTCTACCTTCTGATTTGCAGAAAAATAGTAGGTTTATTTTCAAAGAAGCACAAAAAATAACTTTTACTTCATTTAAGTAGTCTGAATTGAAGCCATGATCCTTAAAAATTTGAATTGTTCACCCCCAGAAATAAATTTTTAGTAATTTTAGGCTGCCATTATGGGCAAAATAGTGAAAGATTATTTTTTTGTAATTTTTCTGATACATGCTCAGACACAAAGCTTATGAGATTCAATTTAAAAAGGCTACCAGAATCAGATTAGGCGTAACAGGACCTCAAAGCCTGCAAAAAGTATATTTCCACATCGTAGAATTCCATATCAGAGCTGGAAAGTTTGAAGAACAACATCTTTGGTATGCTATAAGATATCATGCTGAAATTTCAAAGATCTTCTTATCTTATCTTATACAAGCATTGTCACAAATTTTCATGAAAATCTGAAATGGTATATGTGGGACTTCTTCCAAATTTGGCCCATAGCATTAAATGACCAACTTATTTTTTTAATTTCATCCACCATATAATTTGTGTTTATTTTAGATATGCTCCAGGATCTGGAAACATTGTCACTTTCTGCCAGTTTCTGATGATTTCAATTCAGGGGTTTATTTTTACATCAAAGTTTGGTACAGAGAAGCCAAAAGTTCCCTTGAGGTACAAATTGAAAATGTATCTTCTTTCAAGAAAATTTTTCTGTTGAATCCAAAATTTGGAATTTGTCAAGATTATCTTGAAATTTGAGAATGCCAGTGGACAATAATTTTGACTAAAATTTATTATTAAAGTATTTCTTTATTAAAGTATTAAGGTATTTTGACTAAAGTATTTCTTCAAATAAGGATATTTTGGCTAAGTAAAGTATTACAGATTTATTCTGATTATCATTAAGTTTCCACAAATGTTTTTACCTAAGTAAAGCACTTACATGAAAAATTCAATTTCAGTTTTCAAATTTTCTATTTTGACAAAATGAGGGTGAATACTTTATTATTTTATGACAAATTTTACTTGAAAGGGTGAATGCTTTTTATTTTATTTATAGTTTAATTATATATTTTAAAGACATTCTTTCAAAACAGTGCTTGTATTTTTTAGCTATTACATGGTTTTTTTGGAAGCATATTCCCTAGCAAATTTCAAAAACAGTCTTGATTTATAGCTCATCAAGCAAATGCAAGCAACCATGATTGCATTTCTATGAATGAAGATTGTTATTTTTTTCAGAAATTATGCTGCACTTGTGACCCTCTTCTTCATGGTTGGAGTGACAAACAATATGGCTCTAAATTTCAAAATTCCAATGCCACTGCATATGATATTCAGATCTGTGAGTAAATCAAAAAGACACCATTGTCTCAATAACTCTCATCTCAACATTCACAATCTTGAAGAAAATTTTAAACCCCCCCCCCCTCTCTTCATAAATGTTGAGTCCAAGGATTGAAAACTGCCAGCTAGCTTGACTACTTTCCATCTCAAACAAATCTCCTTTTTCCTGTCAAATTTTGACATAGATCATGGAAACTTTAAATTGCATTGAGAATTTCTCAATTAATTTCCATTTATTGCTGAAGAAATTATACATCAAATCATACATAGAAATTAAATTATTCCTTCCCTTACTTCTGATTTATGTTCCAGCTCAATTTTGTTGCTTGAAAACTGCCAAAAGTCAAGGCATAGCAAAAGTATGGAGGCTAGATTCTTTTGCCAGCTTTAAGTATCTTATTTATGTACATGAGATTTATTTGTTTCACTTATGTTACGTTGATTTTGTTTTTCTTTTCGAAATGTATTGGCAACTAGGCAAGCTTTGGTAATTCTATTTTCAAGAAGTGGCATGTCCTTGGTAGCTCTGTTATGTTTATGACTTGTTTCAGGGATCTCTGATGGCAAATATGGCTTTAGGAATCATCATTCTGAAAAGAAAGTGAGCTAATTATCATTATAAGTTTAAAATATTAATAATTTTAATTGGAATATGACAATCAATTGATGACTTTTTGAGGTTAATTCAGTATATTCAGATTTTATTTATGCACTTCTTTCATGTTAACATTTTTTGACTTCAAAAAGCAAAGCTATCATCAATTAATTGTGTAATGATTGTATAGAGAATCATTATATGGAGAATCTTCTGAAAAGAAGTGTGTATTTGCCACTCAACTTTCCAAAAATCCTTTAAAAACCATTAGACATGAAGTCATGATGCAGAAATCCATCGTGCTTAGCAGGGTAGAAATGTTAGACACTCTGAAGAATAATATTGAGTTTGGTACTGTTTAGATTTTCTCTATTTCTGCTAGCACCACTTGAATTGCAGCTGGCAATGCAACGTGCCATCCCTTGAGTTGAAGGTTTTTATATAGAGATGTAAAGTAGGCACAGCCTATGAAAATAGCATTTAAAAGTTGTATTGTACTATACATAATTATTTTTAGTGTAATACATCATACTGCTATAATTGTCATTATTTGTAATGTGATTATATTTTATCATGTCTTGTATTTGATATTGTTGGTTTTCCAATGTTGAACATCATACACCGCTGTTATCACAGTCAACCATAATTGTAATGCTAACATAATCATGCTTGTGTATGGATATCCTGATAAGTTTGAAAAGTAATCATTTGCCTTCTTATCAACTGCTTGCTTTTAGATACACACCTATTAAATTCATTGCTGTTGGAATGATCACTGTTGGAATCGTTCTTTGCACTCTGTTTTCTGTGAAGAATGAGGTAAAACTACTTGCTATTATGGTGCCATAATAGAATCAAAGGCATTAGGAAAATTGGGCTTTTGCTTTGAGAAATAAAACTATGGTCTATAAAGCACCAAGGCCGCTTGTAAGGTTCTTACAAAAAGTTTTGATTTATTGCTGTTTAATTAAACGTAAGAATCTTGCTAAAAGTTTTGGAAATTTGGCAATCCCTGTTGCTAAAGCCATTTTCCCACAGTAAATTGGGGGCGTGGCCTTTCATTTTTCATTTTGTTCCACCCCTCACAGTCAAGTTGCTGGCGCTGCCACTGAGCCACTGATGCTGTTCTACACGTGCATGTCTAATGATTTGCTTCGTTCGTAATATGTTCAACTCATGAAATAGCATGATTTGTACACTTTTTAAAGGCTAAATTGTTTACATGACCCTTAGATTCATTACTATTACCCTTTAGATTAGATTCATTACTATTATGTCTATATTTGGTTACATACCAGGGGGTATCTGGTGCGTTATAATATCAGAAGTGAAGACTGTAAAAATTTTGATTTGTCTTCAGAGAATAGTTCTATTTTTACTGACAATGTCAGATTTGCATTCTCGTTCAAACTTGTTTTGTGCATTTCATCTAATTGAGTACTGACTTCTCAGGGAAAGACGAAATCAGTGGGAGATACGGTTGAGTATTTCTGGTGGCTGGTTGGTATGTGACGCTTGTTTCTGTTTTACTGCCTTGATGTTTATCCAACAGAAATAGTCTAATTCCGAGTTCAAAATTCTTTATGATCCTATATATCATAAGCAATTTATATTATCCATGGCTGGCGACAGCCAAGAAAGATAAAGTCATTTCCAAAACTGCCCTGTGAAGACTGCATATACTTACTGGTGGAAAATTTTGATAGTGCATGGAGCATTTAGCTTCCTGATCTGCTGTTTGTTGGTCTTGATTATTTCACAGCTACGTGAAATCATTTCATAAGATCCAATGTTATCTTATGATATATTTTCGCTGTATTGTTTTGTGCGTTGCTGAAAACTGACTATTTTGTTGACTATATTCTCCTATTTTAGGCGTTTCTTTGCTCACGTTCGCACTCTTTGTCTCAGCAAGACTCGGCATTATGCAAGTAAGCCTGAAATTATGTCAAATATATTAATGAAATAGCACTACCTTACGTTTGTGTCACAGAATTCAGAATATCCATTTTTATTGATATCTAACATCTTCAATGCGACATCGGAATATTTCTGCTTAAAGGCGTCTGTGCCCTCAATGATTGGCTAATATGTGTAATTGGTCTTCCCGCCTTAACGGTCTACGCTGCTCGCTGTGGCTGGCCTAGCTGCGGTAGTGGACGACATTTGAAACTGCGAACGAAAAGCTTTCTAAAATGGCAAGAAGAGTTAATAACTGGAAGTTAATGATGATAATTGAAGCATTTCCCTTTATTGTTGACATATCTGTCGCACAAACCAAACAGGGAACAAAATATTTCCAGCCACAGCTTTGCTACAACGGAAACACAGCCATTTGATTGAAAAGTTCTGGAATCGAAGCGATATCTGATTGGTCTAAATAGTTTAATTATCGGTCAAACTGAATGGTGCGCGAATTTCTCAATTGGCGCTCTTGCGCCCGCTTGGTGACGGCTAGGCATGTATCTTGTCCATTACCTTCAAAAATATCTGGGATGTAACTTTTAGAAAGAAAAGCATGACCTTTAAACAGAAACATTATTGTCCTGCCCAAGCAGAAATGCATGTTCTGGCATCAGGCACAGTTTTTTTGTGGACTTGAGTATATTGATGTTTGGTGATTACATCCATATGATTTTTATTGATGATAACATCCATATGATATTTATGTATAAAACAGAATTTTTTTTTCCTTTAGGAACAAATCGCCATGGAATATGGAAAGCATCCGCGGGAATCACTGTTTTACTCGGTATGTTTGGCTGTTACAATGCATTCTTCTCTTCTTTCTTGTTGTTTATTAGAATAGTAGTTTTTCAAATAGCTTTAGTCTTGCTCCTTTTTCAAACAGAACGCGGTCCCATGTTTTGATCGTTGAAAGGAGGCATCCTGAATTCCCATTCTGCTGGTCCAAATCTTGTACTATTAATTTGAACATTCTATTGGTCAAAGTTGTATTCAAGCAACAGAAACCTGCTTTTGATGGATGGTAACTATGGTCCAACAGGTTTTCCTGTCTATAACTTAGAGCATTTAAAGACTCATTGCTAACAATGAGCCTTTGCAAATTGGCAAATTATCCAGGCGACAATCTAAACAATGGCAGTAAACTTCTACGGATTAACCATAATCAGACTGTCTGAAAATGCATTATGGGATGCTTGCGTAGCGCAAAGGCTCATTGTTAGCAATGAGTCTTTAACTATAACTGAAACCTATGAGTCTTTAGTCACAATGCTGTCTCCAGTTGTGTCATCTTCTTTCCGTTTACTCAGAATGAATATCAGTCCTTGAGATTCAATCTTTACTACCGTATCGTGGTTCATTTCAGGCTCTTGGGAACCTGTGATCTAGATATATTTAAAGGCACCATGTTCCGGCACATTTCACTGGCCATCTAAATCTCCCATTGGTTGGACTACACAATAGACCTATTGTTATATATCCAATCGGCAACAATAGGCTAATTCGCAATGTTTTCTCGATCATTTCACTGGCCATCTAAAACTGCCATTGGTTGGACTACACAATGGACCTATTGTTACATATCCAATCGGCAACAATAGGCTAATTCGCAATGTTTTCTCGATCATTTCACTGGCCAACTAGATCTCCCATTGGTTAGACTACACAATAGACCTATTGTTACATATCCAATCGGCAACAATAGGCTAATTCGCAATGTTTTCTCGATCTAGCTGCAATGCCTGTTGCTTACTCTGAACGGTTAGGTGTTTTTAAGTAAATAGATCACTCCGGTATCATTCTGTGGTAATTTTAAATATATCACGACTAAGTTCAATGTTAAATTTTCTATCTTTTCAAAAAAAGAATTTCAAATTGTTACTCAAATACAGCGTACCTGCCTCATTTTCATTATTATCTCCAATCCCAGCATGCTTTGCCGCTGCCTGGCTTTTTGTTATTGGCTAGCGATATTTACAAACATGGCGTCCTGTTTTCACAATCAGGTTAGTTTTCGTTGATAAGACAAGTAGAAAATTTGATCTTTTACATTCAGCTTTTCACTTTTTATTTGATTTTTTTTCGAATTGGCAAAGAGACGAATCATAAAGCAATCGAACTATCGGTCGCACTAACGCTGTAGTTTAGGTTTCTGTTTTCAACTGGTTGCACTCTTTCAAGAAGACTATTTATGAGAACACTGGTGTTCAATTTGCCAAAAAGAGCAACATAAATACACTCTCATGCTAACAGAAGATACAAGTATGTCTCTCATGCTACCATCGTGTCATATAAAGTTGTTATCTAGTGGTCTTAGCAGAAGCGGGTTTTTGCATGTAGAAAAGGTAGAAAAATCAATGTTGAAAAGAAAACAACATTAAGGACACCCGAGCCTCAGATAATCGAAAAAATAAGAACATCAAGCCTTAGCAAAACATTATCTGCTTCTTATAAAAAAAATGTAGCTGAACTGTTGCCTGGTGACGTCATTAAGCGTCACTAAAGTTACAAACTAAAGTCCTGCTGTTCTAAACACAAACAGCTTTGCCTATCCATCATTAGCTACTACACAACAGACTGGTTTACGTAGCAAGCTGTAATCTTCGTTTGATACTTTATTTAAAATGCCCCAACGCTCAAAAAACGGCCTAAGGAAAGTCCAGCCTTCTTTTTTGACCACAGCTTTGTGGTTAAAAGACTAGATATGAAATGTTGATTATGTTCTAACATAACTTAAACTTTGTTTTTTTCAGATCCGGTGCTAATCCCATATATTGACATCAGTATACCAATCATGTGGTTGTATCTTATTGGTAACCTAATCACACAGTATCCTTTCATTTCACTGTAGAAGTTTATTCACAGCAGATTGTGATCAGGTTTTTGGGGGTTTTGATTTGTTAGTGGGTAAAAACAGGCTTTGAGTACATTATAGGTTTGAAACAGGTCTTAATAGAACAATCAATGTTGCACATCTTTTTGTCAAGATCTAGATATAGAATGGTGCTCACCATAAAGATCGTTATCTGCTTTTTTCCTCCTCTTCCCTGTGTACCCGTGCCTCGAAAGCCGACGATTCGGTATAATTGGCCGATGTGGTGGCGATGAATCAGTAGATGTAAAGGAGGGGTAGGAAACAGGGTAAAGGTTTTTCATTTTTCTCTTTTTCCAAATTTCCTGGCCCGCTGAGAGCTTGCCTGGGGAATGGGGCAGAAAGAAAGATAGAGCCGTGATGACAATCTGGGAACATGTGCCCCCTTGCCCCCCCCGGCTCTCGGAGGGCCTGCCAATCCCCACTGAGATACATATTTCTGAGGTTAGCTTTAAATACTGAATGGAGACTCTGACATCCAGGACTTTATATTTTTGAGACTAAATTGAGAGGACTCTGACATCCAGGTTAATTCCCTCCTATATCGAATTTCGTTTCGTTATCCTTTACAAAGCTTTCAGATACATTTGCATTCGCAGTGTTTACGATTTAACTGTCGAATACACCTCATTAACAGTGACTTTGGTCATAACTCTAAGGAAATTCATCAGCCTTCTCATCTCGATCTTCTACTTCAGAAATCCATTCACTATCTATCACTGGGCAGGGACAGCGCTTGTTTTTGGTGGCAGCCTCCTTTTTGTCGATATAATAAGCATGTTCAAAAAATCCGGCAAAGATGCCAAAGAGGAAAAGAAAAAAGCTGATTAACATTTATTTATTGCTGTTAAATTTTGCATTTGATCAAATTTTATCGTTCTCTTACAGAACTTGATTTTTCTCGCTTTTTCTACACGGGTAGAGTCACAGAGTAGGGAGAGGGGGAAATGTGAAAAATCCTAATGTTACTCTCTTTGATATTTTATTATCTTAAACTATACTTGTGTCACTATAACTATCTTATTCTTCTCATTTTACTTTTCAAACTTTTCTCTCTCATTCTATGGAAGAGTGTCAAACTTTGTTTCCTAGTCACATACAGACAAAGCAGTCATTAAGCGTCTTTGGCTGTCGCATGCAAATATTTGGATATTATATATAAGTATAGATAACTTTTTATAGATATATTTTTCAAGTAAAAATGACGTTCTTACGTAAGAACAGTGAGAAACTGTGGGTCTGCCTCTGAAGACCTCTTATAAAGGTTTCTGTCCCAAGTACCTTCATAGGCAATTATCATTAGGGAGTAGTACACATATTTCGAAAATTTTATATGTAATGCATTAAGAAATAGCCATTTTATGACATATTGGAGTGAATGCAGGAATAAGTATGTGAAAATTGCCCTTGCTAGCTCGATCTTTTTTGATACGATTCACCAACTACACAATCAAATTTTCAAGTTTTTTATTATAATTTTTAATTTATCACAGTTTCTATGTAATTTGCATACTGTGCTAATTCGGGACACTATTTATTGCTACCAATACAAATAAAATTGTTAAGCAAAATATTTCTACAAAGTTTTTAAAAATGGTATTCGATATTGCCTGCAAACTGTTTATAATTTCTTTGTGTATATGCCATATACACAAGGACAGGGACTCGATATAATTATTTTCTACCCGTTCCCTGCTTTTTCTTAAATACATTTTTAGTAGGATATTCTTATACACTCCCTGATAAGAATGCCATAAATTTTGCCCAGCCTCAGAAATTTCTTAAGAAATTTTTGTTTTGAGCCTAAATATATTCTTGAAGAATTCTTGCTTTTTTCAAAGCTGATATCGTTTAAGGGGAACACCACTCACTCAAAACAGACAACTGCTGAAAAACGAGACACAAATATGCGTGCCGACGCTGATCAAAATTCTTATAATATTTATAAAAATTCGATGACTTTGAGCCTGGTTATTCTTTGAAACTATATTACTGCTAATGTATTGATAAAAGAGTGTAGAAGAAAGCGACAGAAGCTAAAGGGGAAAGGGGGTCTGGGGGCAAGAGATTTCAACATGACTACCAAATTCAACATGACTCTAATACTCAACCTAGAAATTCGGGTATTTTTATAAGAAACATGATTTTTTCCATTTTAATCTTATTTACGCACGATATCTATTCAGTAAAGAGAAAAGGTATGATATACAAAATGAAAAACTACATTACAATAAAAATAAGAAATGATTGGACTCGGTGCACTGAATAGATATTCAAAGAGAATCAACAGAATTTAGCCAGGTTGTTCTAAAAATAATTTTCTATTCCATTAAATTTGCATAGAAATTAAATTTGGTAACAAAGAGATTTTATATTATGATTGGTTAAAATGAATAGCTTGGAGTTATCCTGTTCTATATCCGTTGATTCTCTTTAAAGGGATTTGTGCAATCCACTCATTTTCAAAATTCATTAGGTACATTATTCGTAGAATCTGGTGTGCATTTCAATTTGATTTACGCTGATTCAATTTTCCTTTGATTTACCTCCTCTGTCCTAGGCTTTTTCGAGGACTTACGCAAGCGTTGCAAAGGTGGGTAACCTTGCGGTTCTTGTAGACCCTCCCTCTCACGCTGGCTTGCCCTTCCAAAAGGACGGCCACCCTTGACTGGCACAGGTAAGAAAACACAAAGAGATGCGTTCACCGATAGAGACTTGACAGAATATGTTAGTAACAACGAAGTTACCCTGGGTTTCAGAACGTCAAGCGTGCCTCAATGCCCCACTTGCTTTGACGCTTGACGCTCGGGGACCCGGGGCACAACGAAGTTGGCCAGTGAATCTTGACACGAATCTCCTTATGGACGACTATTGCCAGAAAGTACCCTTGGTAAGAGGGCCATGTAAATTCGAGGGCGGAAATTGAGGAGATAAGTGGAAAAACCGACTGCCGTTTGTGCACTCGAATTTATGTGACACTGGTACCCTGGCTGGACCAGATAGGTGCCAGTCAATCACGCTGCTTACTGCTTTCTAATGCCACTTCAACCTTTAATATCTCACCCTTCACGATGCTGACATAATTATAATCATGTTGATCTAAAAGGTGCTGAACCTAAATTATCATTGATACGATAAGTAAGTAATTTTGTTTGCTATCTAAATTCATATGAATTTGAAGTAGGACCGTAGGATGCTGCTGGCCTGGCGCATTTGTTGTCACGGCTTGCATAATTCATCCTGCCTCTTCCCCCCAAAACGCGGTAGAAGTATTTTCTGTCTGTTTTTGCTACACGAGTTATGAATGTAACGTTTCTACTTCCGTTGGTACCAGAGCGACATAAATTCAAGGGCAGGAATAGTAGACCAAATAGTGGACATGCGTAGATCCAGGAACTGCCGATCATATTACGGTTTTGGTGGGCTAACAAGTTTTTCTGAGCTCCTAAACATGCAAAAGGCCAGAATCAATATTATTAATACATCATTTTAAACACTATTTGGAAAAATGCTAGGGCCATAAGCCTCAAGCCCCCATTTTCATGGTACCTGGAAATATTCACCTCTCTAGTTTTATTCGCCTCACAGCAATTTGAAGGCCTTTGCGTAGGAGAGGCTAGTGGTGATATTTCAAAGCGGACAGAAATTTGCATACAAAAATTCCACGTGACTGCGGTATTACATGTTTAGACAGAGACTCGACAAATCAGTTGCGTTTTGGTCGCCCGATAGAAGACACAGGCTGCAAGTGGAGAAACAATTCTGTAAGTTGTTTACCAAATTATTTTCATTTTTAAGAAGCCAAAGATAACCAGACACAAGTTGTAAAACTTGCTCTTATTTGCTCTAGCGCTGAATAGTTTAAACATAAACATGACCTTTGCGATGTCATGTTTTAATTATGTAATAGGACTTGCGACGTTAGTTTAAGAATGGGGTTTGGTCGGGGGTTCAGGTAATGTAAAGTACCAACTAATTGATTTTGATTTTGTGAATTAAACTCCTGAATTAGCTAAAAGAAAAAGGAGGGACCATAGCAACCCGACCCCCGGTGGAGGTCCTGTTGAAAAACTGTAACTTACTATATCTATATAATCTCAAATGAATAACTTGAGCATCAGTAAAGAAAGAAAGGAGCGAAGTTATGAAAGATTCCAATTCAAAGTTGTGGAAACTTGGGATAATGGATATAGATAATTGTTATCTGCAGATCTGCTTCAACATTTTGTTTCACATTGCCACAACTGTCCTGAATACAGCAAAGAATTTGCTCCCCTGTGTCCAGTTTGTTACGTAATGTTGTTTGGACCTTGGCTGGTATGAAAACCTGGAGCCGTAATGGTAGGCAGGCGTCTCCTTCGAGTATAAACTCACAGAATACACGGAGAGTTATGCAATGGAAAATAACTACCCAATAAGAAGCCTGAAAATTTGATCAACCATAAATTGCCAAACTCTTCTATGGCTAGGAATAATTAAGATTAACGTCGTACACAACTTGGTCGTTTTTATTTGTCAAGCTGCTTTTAGCAGGCGTTTTGTTTAAAAAAAAAACAGAACTTCCTTTTGACATAAAAACTTTGCATCTATAAATAATTACAAGGAACCTGATGTAAAGCTAAAATGCAGCTGCGCAGGGGCAAACAAGGTTGCATTTTCGACCCCCCCCCCGTGCGGGGTTTTTCTGTACCCGCCCTTGTTTGAGAGTGGTATAGGGTCAGGTGCATCAGGGGTAATCTGGCTTTCGCTCCGTTACCCGACCATCCATTTTACCTCATCGTAAGAATCCTTCTAAGGTAGGGACTGGAAGTAAAGACATTCCCTCCCACGTATTGTTCTTTCTACTAATGATTCAAGGGAATTGTGGATTAAGTTACACATTTCTTTTCTGTATTTCTGTGTTCACGAGGAAACATCCCTCTCCAATTTCGATAAGGGGATGGTTAAACAAAGGTACACAGGAATGAGAAAGATTTACCTGCAACTTAAAGGTCTTCCTCTTTATCGTTATAATTAATTCTTAATTTCTTTAATTATTTTGCTCAAGTCTTGTAATTAGTTTAATGTCCAGGGTAATTTTTCAGTTGCCCACAATCCTGAGAGAAGATGCAGAGGGGGAGGGGTGACGGGCATTTGTTCAGGCTTTGTTTCTGTCACGGCTGCGGCTGGGGTCGTAGCTTATATCATGTTTTGAAACAATGATATCTTTCTTTAGAATATATTATGGTCGAGCAGGTGACCAGATTCAAAGTATCTCATATTGAAGCTCCTGTTCATATGTTGTAATAATGCCGCTAGGAATACCGGTTGCGCAAGAACCTTCAAGTGGCAATGGACGAAAGAGGGGGACAGGACGTCTAAGAAGAACGACCGTTTTCTTAAAAGTTCTACAGAGAATACCTCGCCAAAAAAGGGGTATTTTGCCAAAGACTAGGAGTATCTGCCCCTAGGCATGCTGGGAGGGGGACAGGAGCCAGATTGTCCTAGTCCTGGAGCTGAGAGGGACCCAAAAGGCTCATCACATTGACAACAACCATAGCAATCACAGTTTCAATATCTTGTTTTGCTTTAGGCCTCAGAAATGCTTTCGGCTTGCCTGTTGTTTCACAGATGGCAACAGCATTATTTCCATCTATTGCTCGACCAACACCTCTCCTTCTTCTGTACCCCTCTCCCCAAGCCTTTTAGGATGATTAAATAAGTTCGCTTCTGGCTTTTCACTATCAAAGTTTGCTGCAAAGTTTTAGCAACGCTCTCAACATATTTTGACATAGACAGAGATACAGCGTTTTGTTTTAGGAGGGGGGGGGGGG